CTGGAGAGTGTTATGCTGAGTGAAATAAGTCAATCAGAGAAAGACAAGTATCATATGACCTCACTGATATGAGGAATTTGAGAAACAAGACAGAGGATCATAGGGGAAGGGAGGGAAAAATGAAACAAGACGAAACCACAGAGGGAGACAAACCCTAAGAGACTCTTAATCTCAGGAAACAAACTGAGAGTTGCTGGAGTGGTGGGGGGTGGGAGGGAAGGGGTAACTGGGTGATGGACATTGGGGAAGGTATGTGCTATGGTGAGCGCTGTGAATTGTGTAAGACTGATGAATCACAGACCTGTACCTCTGAAACAAATAATACAGTGTATGTTAATAAAAAAATAAAAAAAAATAAATTACTTACAAACCAGAAAAAAAAGGAGAAAGCTCGATTTAAGTTAAAGTTTGATGTACAGGGTAGTTGATCATCCTAAAGAACCAAATATAAGTTACTATAGAATGAATAAGAGATAAGATGTTTGAAAAAATATTTTTACCCTATTGCTTTTGAGCAAAAGATAAACTTTTTTTAAAAAACAAAAATGTAGACAATGCACACTTAAAGTAACAGGCTTATTTTTTCCCCCTTTAGATTTACATGGTGATGGGAGGAGAGAATCCCTGCAGTCAGAATTGCCCACTAGGGAAGACAATGTGGTATTAATCCACTTGGGGGAATTTTCCAAGAAAAGAAGGTCTTTGAATTGAATTAAGAGAGAAGAAGGAAGCTCGCGCACATGTGCATGTGTGTGCGTGTGTTGGAGGGGGTCACTGATATTTGTTACAGGTGTAAAGAAAAGATCTTAAGGAAGAAAGTCCAAAGAAGGCAGGAAAGAGAGTCAGAAAAGGGGGCAGGAGGGTCAGAGACAGTTCATTTGTGATGAGATTGATCAATATCAGAGAACACATCTGTTAGGAACAGCTTCTGCTTCCCAGAATTCCAATCGGAATGGGGAAGAATGTCAAGCAGGGGTCTTTGACTGATCTTTCTGTGCCTCTTTTTCCAAGATGACATTCCTGATACACTCCTCCTGGCCATGAAAGAGGTAGACTTAGGGAGAAGGTGGCATGAGCTCTAAGCCCATTGCACAAACCCCTGGAGGACACATGGCAAATACAATTGGTGATGGTGCTGCATGGTGACAGCCTTGGTCTAGTTCCTTATGGCAATGATATGTAAATTAATCACTAATAAATGGCATCTTTTGTTGGCATATTAGTCAAAAGGTCAAGAACTGAACAGATCACGGGACAGACATATTTTCCTGATGGAGGCAGAGGGGGCTGGAAAGTCTGCACACAATGGAAAGCTTAACACACCCCATTTTTCCCACTGCCTTCCAGAAGTCTACAATGACAAGCAACACTTTATTTCAATAATAACCTATTCTTACTTTTTAAAAAATATTTAACTGTAGGAGTAAATAAACTATGTAGGGCTTTTTTGTTTCTCAACAGTGTAAAAACCCAAGTGATAAAAGAGAACAGAACAGAAGTTGCTTATTCAAAAAGTGAGTTGGAGTTGGCATATTTTGTGGTTGCAGAATGTATATCACTGGGGCAGAAAAAAGACCAAAAAGGAACACATCCCTTATTCGGCATGCTTTTATGATGACAGGGCACAGTTTAGTGTCAAACCATGCTGAGAGGCAGGTGAGCAATATGGTCTCCATTTCCAAACAGCTATATTGCCAGTTTCTTTGAGAATCTAAACTGGAGCTCACCATTTTCAATACATGTGAAGCTGTTGGAAAGGTGACTTGTAAGAATAGGGCACTTAAAAAAAAAAAACCCAGATGTTATTTACAATCATCAATTCTGATTAGGAAGATGACATTTCTATTTAGGAAGCTAGGAATCTGTTTTATGTCCAGTAGCTGGAAAGATACATCAATGATGGAAAAGATATGTTTTATTTATAACCAAACAAATAGGGCTATAACAAAGGTGTAAGCCAGATTGCTTTTCTAAAGGCTAATAGGCAAGCAGAGCAGGGTGTGGCTTCTCTTCTGGGAGATTCTTTCATGAAGGAGGCATACAGGTAGTGATTGAAAGTTGTGCCTGGTTAGGTACCCTCATAAGTGCATTTATTATTCTGCATGCTGAAGTGGTTGGTGATGTAGGCAATACGTTTCATCACATGCATACTTTTTTTTTTCTATACACCCCTCTTTAAACTGCCCTGATCTGGATGCTTTCTCTTTCCAGGAGCCATATTGGTCAGAACTGGGATGTATGGATCCCTGTCTTGCCTCAGGCACCAGCATGCTCCTGGTGACGAACTCAGCTTGTCTGAGACGTGACTATGGTCACACCTCGTCACCAAGGGCCACCTCAAAGGGGGGCGACGTGAGACATATCTGCATTTCACCCAGATATCTGCCATGTAGTGGACACGGACCAGTAGCGGATACGGATCACGTAGGATTCTGATGACATATTCTCTTAGCACTTTTGTGATTTCTAAACCATGTAGAAGCTGCATTCTTTCCCTCTAGTTAGCATGACTACAGGAAGGGGGGAAAGAAGGCCAGGGAAGCAAAGCCAGAAGGAAAGGGGACACTTGGTGGCCGGAGCAAGGCCTCCCCACGTCAACTGAGGTTGGTGTTGGCAGCATTGCTTGGCCACACTGAGGGTGCCTTTGGTCCCGGCACCACCAGGAGTCATTACGATGTGATGCCCTCTGTAGACTGAGTGCTCTACTAGGCACCGCAGGGTAATGCGATCCTGGAAAAACTGGCTCTTTTCTTTGGGAGAGCTGATCACCTCCCTGGGGACCTCTGAGCACCCTCTTGTAGAATGCCTTGATCACAAACAGGCACGCTGGAAGGCAGTACGGGCTCGTGCACCTTGGCCTCACAGACCCTCAGTGCCTCAGGCACACCCTTTGCTGCTTGTCTTGTCTTGGGGACCTGTGTCCTGAGAGCACCCTTATCTGCGTGTTTCCATCCGACGCCCCAGACTGCCTCCCTTAGAGACGCGGACGGCCACAGCGAGGCTCAAGCAGTTACATTCCAATTTGGATTTTTCTGACTCTCAACAGTTTTGGGTAAAAAC